TACTGACCTGTTTCACACTCAACACCACTGTTGACTTGTTAATAGTGTTCTACTGACCAGTTTCACACTCAACACCATTGTTGACTTGTTAAGTGTTCTACTGACCAGTTTCACACTCAACACCATTGTTGACTTGTTAAGTGTTCTACTGACCAGTTTACGCTCAACACCATTTAATAGTGTTCTACTGACCGTTTCACACTCAACACCACGAACACTATTAACAAGTCAACATACTGACCATTAGAACTTTTCTTATTACATCATATACTACCAATTTTGTTTAGCCATTATAGTTTCAATATTATCAATGACATTTTTTTTTTGTGGTGCAAAAGCAAATGAACTCCCACTAATTTATCTTAATAAAAGTTAGTAGTTTCAAACCAACAGTTGATTTATGAAACACGTAGGTTAAAAGGGTCAGATTACAGACACCAAGATCCGGGCATAACCACCCATAATTTATTGCTGTTTATCAGATGGAGGGTAACCAGTCGGTATCACCCAGTCCCACAGAGCTACTATTAAGTTAATAGCAGGGTTGACTGTTATAATGCCCCTAAAGTTAAAAATGTAGAGCACATTGTTATCCCGAACCTTGGACCTTCCAATTTTGATATACTAACTCCTAGTCACACACTGTATTATCTTTCTACGGCATACTAGTGGCAAATAACACAATTACAAAAACACTCTTTGAGTGAATAAGAAAACAGGTAAAAACAAAAGTTCATGCTTGAAATGTTGTTGTAATTACATGCATGAAGGAACAAATAATGTTGATGTAGCCTAGAAAACGGATTAACTCGACTGAGGCTAAAAAATATCAAATATATTTTTATTAGATTTTCATAGGAATAGAAACAAGAGCTTAAAAGATGACACGTTTCTCCATCACAAGCTTAAGTACAAACACTCAATTTGTGGTACTCATCAAATCAACCCCCTTGCTAAGTTTCGGGTTGATTTTTTCATCCGTAAGCTAATGATACGAGAAATTAACAAGTAAGGAGCCATGTTATAAATACAGACTGACATGGGAACATTAAAAAAAAAAAAAGGCCACTGTTTCTTTTACATTTAAATGTTTTAAATTTGCTTCCAGTCCTGTTTCTGGAGTGTGACAAGTACGATTGTTGGTGGAAACTAACCCTTCATCTCAAAACTTGACAGATATAACTTAAATGTGCATTAATAGAAAACACCTAGTTTCTTTGCTACTGTTAAGCTACGTTTATAGAAAACACCTAGTTTCTTTGCTACTGTTAAGCTACGTTTATAGAAAACACCTAGTTTCTTTGCTAATGTTAAGCTACGTTTATAGAAAACACCTAGTTTCTTTGCTAATATTAAGCCACGTTTATAGAAAACACCTAGTTTCTTTGCTAATATTAAGCCACGTTTATAGAAAACACCTAGTTTCTTTGCTAATGTTAAGCTACGTTTCTATTATTATTTGCCTTCTGAAGTCAAGAAAATTATATTTTGACAACTGGATTAAAAAACCAATTACAAAAATATATAAAACATCTTATAATAGCAGTATATCTATACAGGTAATAAGTATTATTAAATACAGTATTCAAAACAGTTTAACTGACAGTGGCTTCATTTTAAGACATTTATCTAGAGAATGGGCTATAGCAAACCCCCAATATAAACGTACAAACGATACTGTTTCTTGTTCATTTACATAATCAAGCACATACTTTGAACACCTGTTATATTAAACTTATTCAGTGATCAGGGATAAAGTATATGCTGAAAGTTGTGTTTTAAGCTAGGGTGTTTTATAGTTTCATCAACTGGTACAGACTTAAGACTTAAATAAGCATAACCTGCCTATAATCCAGCTTGTGGTATCACGGTACTGGTTAGCACTAAATAAAGTATGTTCTATAAGAAATATTCAAGTTTACCTAACAGGTAATCAAACTTGAATGAATGCGAGTAAATACAGTTATGTAATACAGCATGGTGGTATATATATAGTTCTATCTGTAACACAGGTGGTCGAACAAGTTGTCGCTGCCAGCAAAAATGAAGAAGTTACCATCGTTGAGAAGACTGAAAAAAGTTGTACTATTCTTTAGAAACTTAACATTTCAGTAACTGCTCGGATTCTTACTAAAGGTTGTGGTTTTTATTTATATATAACAATAAGACTGTACTTATCTAAAACGGTTTAAATCTTTTCTCGTACGTTATTTCTACATTTAATATATAAAGAAGCCACAGACGAGTTTTACAGCAAAAAGTGATGCGTGAATAAACGTAACAGAATTATCAAAGATGTCGAAAAAAACTTATCAAAGCCTTAACATTTGATAGACAGTGATAGTTTACTTACTGATAAACCTTGGATTTAACACTACTGTAAAGTCAACATCCAACCTATACAACAAACTTTGTCCACTGTATACAAGTAATTTTGATAATGTTATTTTAAAGTGTTTGTAGTCTAGGAGATAAAAGAACGTTTTTTTTTTACTTACTTGTAGTAGTCCTGTGTAAGCATTATAGACATAATTATTGTTAACGTCCAAGTTATATTTATAATAATCTCTTGAATCTTTTAAAAATCTCCCCGTTGTTGGATTGAGTAGTTGTAGATTTATTACTGGTCCAAAATAGTTACCTTCTGTACCATGTTTGCAGACATACGATTTAAAAATAAAAAAACATTATTTAATTACCGTCCATATCATGTTTGCAGACATAAGATTTTTTAATAAAAGTATTACAGCTTTTATCTGTATTATAATATTTTTATAAACTTTACCACATCTGGTTTGTTTGACCTAACCAATATTTTGGTTTTGGGAAAAGAATAATAATGTTTAATATTTGGAGTTTGTATACAAACTAATTATCTCTGTTTTTTGAATACAGGTAAAAGACGTGCAAATATGAACTTAGTGATGAAAAAAAAAAAGTTAAAAAGTGGAATTATTTTTGTTTGTCACTTAATTATTTGTTTTTTAGGGGTACCATACCCCCATTTTGCTACATGATTAAGCTGTATTTGTCCATCCCTAAAGTTTGGTCCTGTATATAGAGTCACTACAGTGTTACTCCATCCCTAAAGTTTGGTCATGTATATAGAGTCACTACAGTGTTACTCCATCCTTCTGATTTGTCTCAATCACTACTTTCTAACAAATCTGTTGTCTATGAAAAGTAATTTAATTATTAAAAGTAACACTGTAGTGACTCTATAGTGTTTTAGATTGATTCAGGAACATAAGAATAATGACATTCCAGCATTTGGAACAGCTGTGACAGTATTCCAGATTTGACCAAAAGTTTGGTCCTGTATGTAGAGTCATTATGGCGTTACTTCATCCCAAAAGTTTTATCCTGTATATAGAGTCACTACAGTGTTACTCCATCCCTAAAGTTTGGTCCTGTATATAGGATTACTATGGTGTTACTCCATCCCAAAAGTTTGGTCCTGTATGTAGAGTCACTATGGTGTTACTCCATCCCTAAAGTTTGGTCCTGTAATTTTATGTGTGACATGTTACCATTTTTGTATTTTAATAGTAGTTCCTCTAATTAGGGAAACTTGTTATAGTTAAACAATGACCCAAAAATATTGACGTACATGCTACAGTTGACAAATTCTACTCTGGATTAAGATCTATCAGTGGAGTTTTGTTTCGTGCTGGTTCTTCTTTGTTTACTATGCGTTTTACTTCTTCAACAAGGTGGAGAAAAAGATAAATTTCACTATTTTTTGACAGCTGATTTTTTTAAATTTTAAAAAGATATGAAGCTGCTTTTCTTAATGTTACCAAATTCCAAGTTACAGAGAGGTTCTTATCCGGA